TTTAGGAGCAATATATTGTTTTGAAACTTTTATTGTAAAATATAGTTATGTATTAGAAAAACTTGAGTTGCTGAAAGTTTGAAAGTGTACACAATCGTCAAAGCAAGCATATGACTGAGGACCAACTGTTCTACATCTATAAAGGTTTTTGCAGCATTTTGCAACATTGTTTCCTACACCAAAGCAGTGGGGAACATTTCTTTGCCGTCACATACAACCATTGATAGTGTTGTACGAACTGTGTTTTAAATTATGAAAGGGTTGTAAGGTAAGCAAACTATCCATGTGATAATTTGCTATGTTCTTTTCTCATATCAGCATGTTTATTTAAACGGACACACACGTGCATTATGTAGCTGTGTAAAATGTGGTAAAGAAATGGAAACCTGTCGACATGTTTCCACTTCTATGAGACCGTCTTCCTGACTTTTGTTTCAACTACTGTATCAATATTGCACGTAAACACAAGCTGTCTCCATCGCATGTTAACATAACACCGTACCAAACACGACGTAGCTTCCCTCAAATATTTACCAGGAAATAATCCCCAAGGATCGAACAAGGATCGTTGTGCGGATCTGAACATTTTGTTTGTTTTTTTATAGCGATACTGGTAATTATCAATTAATACATGAAGGATAAGCAACATTTTGCGAACAATAATAATTAAAATCATTTCGAATACCAACGTCCAAATAAGTTAACCTGTTTGAGATCAAACGTTGCCATGTGTTGCTTCCGGCATCACATCCACTATTGGGTGATTTTGAGCACAGCTCTGTTTGAATAAATATTTAAGGTTTAAATTGAATTTTTAGATATTTGTCTCCACGTTTGCTCTTTGCGTTTATGATTTTTTCACCGAACTTAGCTAGCATTGATTTCTTGATCTAATAACAGGTATGTCTTAGTGCAAGTGACATTAACAATCATCGTATGCGAGGACCATGCTGTTTTCCTAGAGAGAGGCCACTTAAAACGCATGAAATATTAATCTATATGTCTACCAAATTTGGAATTCTGTGAAAAAACGTGATGGGAAGTCATTATCGCGTCTTTCTAGAAATGTCTGGTAACATATAAGACCCTCCACACTTTGACAAAAGATCGCAATCCTTTCTGAAATTAAAGTATGAAACTTTTACATTCGTGTTGGAATGTCCTTTACATATTCCGAAATTACGCTCCATCTTATAATATTTGCAATTTCAGACAACCACTCGTTTGTTTTCAGAACTCTTTCTGATCATTTACATCCAAATATACAGCAGTTAGTTTATTCTACTGACTCAGTATCCCTTTGAACCTGTGGAAGTAACGCTCAACTTCCTTAGCGTATACCCACGTGGAGACTCTGAGACAGCGAACATGGAGGTCCCCAAATACCCAGTGTTGCTCAAATTGGGATCCGGTTGTTACATTCACACTAGGTCGTGGATCGTTGTTCATGATGTCCACCACTTGTTTTTTCTGTCCCCGGCTACTTCCATGACGTAGTGAGACAGCTGGTTATTGCTGATAGGGGCGTGAAATATTCACTCACCACGTAACTTAGAATGACATCAAGTCTTTACATCATCCCTAAACCTTCACTCAAAATAGGTATCACAGGGCATGCTTCCTCATGTCTGCAACACTGACGTATTTATAGTATCCTGGAGCATCTTTTATCTAATGCTCCCATTATCTGTATTAACCACCCCACCTCTTCTGTCCCCAAAAGACGGGTCTCAAAAGGCTTGAGTACAATTTGCCACTTCCGTCTGCCATGATGTGTGATCGCTGTGCACCGTTGCGTCTCTTGGGCATTCTAGAAACGTTTGATAATTGGTTCGAATAGCTGATTCAATCTGATTATGTTTCTAGTTTTGTCAGCACGTTAACGTCTAAGCGCTGACGTTGCAAACGTCTAAGACCTGCACCCTTTCTGGTTTCACGAACGACACACGCCGTGATATAACTGGCATAATGGCAAGATAGTCTGATCTGTGAATTAGGGATCAATAATAGTACCTTTTCAACAACATATCTTATTTATGGGTAAGATAAAGGTATCAGCATTTAGTACCATGTTTATGTTAATAAAGAAAGTATTTTACAGAACACATTTTACGCAGTTAAAGGTTCATCGACAAAATCCACATCATCTTGATCTGATATCAAATAATTTAGTGAGGGTTCAAATGAGAGTCACGAAGGTGTCATTTGGAATGGTATCATTTCATTCTCTCAATTCTCATTGCAGTTCGGGAATGATTCAGGATATTGCCCTTACAGATAACGGTAATTGTGGTTGTTCTTCTCTCTAAAATAGTCATTATAGCCTTCAGTTGTGTTTAACATTCCATTACCAGGCCATATCTTATTTCGTTGTTTTTAGATACTTACCTTCTTCATACCTTGACGAAACGGGATGACACTTACAAAGGCACTCGTAAAATATAGCAAAGAAACGTTTGCTTTCATTTCATTTCAAGAGAATCATATTTTATTCCTACTATCGCTACCATAAGTTACTATTTGTAACTGTACAACCGTACCCAGTCACCGCACACTACCTTGGAATTTTATAAACTATTTCCGTTAATCCAGCAAGGATCAATTCCTGACTTATCAACCCATCAATACATTCCCTAAAAATACCAAAGCTTAATATTTCTGTTTCTCAACGCATGACTACCTTCATTAATAATAGCTTTATTGTTTAAGAAACATATCAGCGTTTTTCAGTTCGCTTAAATAGAACTTATCTCAGAAGCAAACAAAACTTAGACCCGCCCGAGACCATATTTCTGAACTATGGCAACAAGATCTGGTACCAAATAAGATAAGCACAGTCTGACAGAAAGACACAGACATTATGCTGTCATCCACCTCCACGCAGTGTGTAGAACACCATACGATACACTTCACCGTTGGTTTATCTCGTAACCCGTACACAATGACATGGCCATAGCTCCTTTGATGCCTACGTAATGGTGAACACCTCTTGGCTCTCTCGTCTCGTTATCGGAGATTCCCACCCATGTCTTGGGAGGTTCTGTATGTAATACTGTAAGGGACATTGTCGTGTTCTTGTGTTTTCGCGATCGTGGCTTTTATAAACAGTAAACAAATCTAGATTGTTCGATGACGTGCGCGATGTCCCGTTTTCGCACACGCCACGTTCTTGACGATTTATCAAAAGTTGACAACTTGATAACGTAAGAACGTGAGAACGCGACATTTCCCTTTACGGCATTCCATATTTCTTGGAATGGAGATGCCTGAGCAAGTGCAAAAAATTAGATGAATGTGTATATAATCCAAATTCTGTTCTTTTATCTGAAAAACGCATAAACCATCGAGATGAATTAACATTGGGGTGTGAGTGTGTTTTTTTCTTTGAGATACGTATAAACACAGCTTCTGGTCATGCAACAGATTAAACCCTACATTTAATAGTCTTCCATAAAGTGATACCTCCCTCCTTTGTCATTAATCCTATTTTCATTGTACATAAAACGCAGCTATATAAAAAGAAGCATATCTATCTTGTAGGGGGGTGGGGTGAGGGGAGAGTAAGCCTAGTGGTTAAAGCGTTCGCTCGTCACGTCGAAGGGTCGCGTTCGATTCCCTACATGGCTAGATGTGTGTCCCCCGCCATGATATTGCTGGGCTGTTGCAAAAAAAACGGCGTAAAACCATGCTTACTCAATCACTCACCCACTCTCTAGTAAGGTCATTCAAGATCAGTCGTCTTGGCAGAGTTGTGTCAACTAGGTATGCCAGGATCCTACGATCGCGTGTTCGAATCTCAGACATTCTTTGAGTGCGATCATCGGATTGTGAGCAGTAAATCCTTAACAAAGTGATGAACAACACACGAGGGGATCGACTTCCCCTTTCTACACCATGCTGACACTCTGTTATGTCATTAAATTGCTTTTTAAAGTGCCGTTAAATCCAATTAACTCACTCAGGTACCCATTTACTCTTTCCAGCAGCTAATGATCGTAATAATGAGAGATCTCAGAATTAAAGGTGATATCTATCAAGTATTAATTTTACTAGCACAAAGCAAAAACATGGTCATGTGTTCCAGTGTTGATGGCAATGAGGCTTCTGCTATATTGCAATGCATTAACAAACCTTCATGTCTAAGATATTCTTTTTAATTCTGTTAATGTGTGAGATTTCAACATATAAATTGATTGTGTGAGATTTTATGCCATACTTCGCAATATTCCACCCACAACACACTGCTTCACAGTGTATGTAATTAATTCTAGAACATGCAAACCAGTGATTGATACTCTAACAATTGATCCACACTTTGATGGTGCGATGCCTCTCAATGTTTCCTGGTCAAGCCGTTCACCAATTATACTCATAGTTCAATTATATTGGCGAACCAATTCTCATTTACACAATTTGATGTCGCCTTTATTACACGAAGAGCAATTTATATCCAGGAATTACAACGTCGAAAACACATGTTGGAAATATTGCCTCTGATTCACTTCCTCGTAGAGAAAATATCTTTATTATTAAGATTATACAGGAGAAGGACATTGATAAAAAAAGACCATCAGAACTTGAATATTATATTCATATTTAACTATTTGATATATCCGTGGGACATGGCGCCCATCATGAAAGTGCATATAAAGAGCGACAAGCGTTTTTCATTTGTTTAATGACTCTATATTTGCTTATTTTAAGTATCGGCTTGGTGTACGTCATCCTGATACTGCAATGCAACTTTAATTCTGTTCAAACCAACGCGCCCATATTATAAGTTCATGATGGTGTACAATTGATTGTACACTTCATGCACCTTTTTTATCATATAAAAAATGTTATTTGAATAACCATATATGTACATCAACATTCCGATACAACCTATATTCACAACACGTACCAGTCATTAACACATACCCTCGAGCATTTAACCCAAGTATGAACAAACACAGCTTCTATGCAAGAGAATGCAACAAGGCCCATTACGCCATACGGGCAACTTCTGTCTCCCATACAACAGCGGAGGCTACACCGAAAAGCAGTTTGTAAAATGTCTGATTGTCGATAATTGGCCTTCAGAACGTGACGAGAATTTGAGCATGTGGTGTGCAGGCTCAACCTAAGTGCTTGTGTAACCTCTGTTGATAGAAGTCCGAAACCAAAACTTTCAGGTGACATTATACAGAGAAGGCAATCTCGGTATTGGAGTATACCCCTAGTGTTCTGTGGCTGTGATATGTAAGTATTCATCTATGGTGTATATGGCACTAGGTCACGAACATGCTTGGCTGTGCCAGTGATCATATGGATACATATGTAGAGGAAAGACATATCCTTTGTCGTGGTTATGAGTATAAGGCCATTGATATTTTTTGGATATGCCGGCTAAATAGCGATTCAGGCTACAATGTGGTACCATTTTATCTTCGCACCAATTCTGGTGTGTGTGTGTGTGTGTGTGTGTGTGTGTGTGTGTGTGTGTGTGTGTGTGTGTGTGTGTGTGTGTGTGTGTGTGTGTATTGGATGAATGATGTAAAGTACATTATTTGAGGATATTACGGAGTTTCCCTGACACTGACATGCATCATCTGAATTAATAGTTCAACTTTATGGAAATGGGGCAGGCTAATCAAGAAGATAATTTGATTGAATCATGAATTCGATCCTAATATGGATCGTGGCAGTAAGGGTCGAAAGACAACGCTTCACAGCGAACAGTGTGATGTAGAGCAGTGGTGCACCCATTCCCGCTTTGTGTTGGTGTGTTAGGTCATATAAACAGTGCGAGTGAACATTTAAACTACAGATCACTAAATGGCATGTGTGCTATCCAGTCATTTCCCCGTGATCTTTCAGTTTGCGTGATGATCTGTAAATGTTGTATGAACTTTTAAACTATTACAGACAACGCCCATAATTTGTCATCATCACGACTGGGTTCCTGTGGTAATAATATCATATAGTGCCTTAAATCATAAAGTCATAATGCCCTCACATTTAAAGATATTGTAATTGAAATAAAATGATTTTCCCAACAGAGACCGGTATATCATCGCCAGCATCTGAGATATTGATGAAGTTTTTAGTATGATATGTGCACATAAAATAGATAAAGAGGTAATTTATACATTAAACTTTCCTTTTCCTATCACGATCTGCATTAACCTGTTCTTCCCATGCCTGCTGGTTGTAAGATTTATTGCTCAAAACACGTGGGCGTATTTCAGTCATTAGGAATATCACATTTTGACATCTGTAAACGTCCTGTTTTTTTAACGATTAGGTTTGAGTGTGATTAAATGCCACTATATGTTGACAAAACAATGGCGCACATTACATAACACTCCACTAACACCAGCACCGTGGCTGTATCTACAGGATACTCGGATCTTAAGGGTTGCGTCCCTTACTTTTCAGGATCCGCTGGCCGTAAAGTTATATTTCAGGTTCGCCCTGTTTATAATCCTTGGTATGTCCGTATCACCAAGGTGACAAACGTTTACGCTGAGTTCACCTGGGTTTGATTCCAATAATAGGCTAACCAGGTGTGTGAGGCGTGTACAAGACTACATGACAAGAGGGATGACTTCAACTTTCAAACTTGCCCTTTTTATCGAGAAATATTCCTGCAGCTCCTGTCCTTGGTGTCTACATTTCACAACTGTTGAGGTACAATCGCGCATGCTCTTTCTATTAAGATTTCAAAGAGCGTCATACAACTCTTGATCAAAAGATGTTTGATCAATATTACAAGATTCAAGGCCTCAGTAAAGCTTTCAAAAAATGTTATCGTAGACATGTGGAGACATTTCCAAATTTGAGGCATCAGTGACAAAATTTATGTACGATGCCATTCCTTATTTTGACTAGTACCATATTATCCCGTGTTTTTTCAGGTGATCAATTGGCTTGCCTTTGCATGTGTTTGTGACGGGTGCCATCGGTGCGGCAGGATATCTCACCTTTTCGCGAACACCTATTTCTAAACCGTATCACCATTCCTTAGTGATTCATAACACATGGTCATGATATAGTCGGAATCGTACAATTGACTCTTCTTTTGGCGCAGCTTTGTTGTGAATATGGTAAGGGGTTTGTCGCTTTTATTTATTGTGAGATCGCACTAGCAATTATGGCAAATCACAACGTGAGAAGGGTCCACAATTTATTAAGTTTCCCATCACTGGTATGGATTTATATTCATGAAAAAAAACAGTTATGATTTTTATCAGTTAACCAAACAGGAATAATTACCGTTACAAGGTAACACCTTTAGAGCAAAACTGAATACATTGATCAAACGTAACAGATGCAGCTGCAATGAGACGGTCACATTTAAGCGATGTATATATTGTGCTACCTGCAGAGTTATGAACCAATTAAGTTTAATCTGACCGTGTAGCTTTCTTCACGTCTAATTTGCGCCAAGTGTAACCAACAGTCATTAACGCCACCTGTGTTTGATTTTAAAGCTTCTGCTTTCGTTTGACACTGAAGAATTTTAATGAAATGTATATTTGAACATGAAATTTAAATTCAGAATATTCAGACAATCAAGAAAATGGTATTCAAACACTTCAATCAATTGCCTCAATGGTTTCCCTTTTACAATTACAATTCAGTTTAACAGATAATTGAAAAAAAACATTATTTATACCAGATGTAACTGATGACTGAATATATACACAATGCCGTCACCACACTCGTCACAACTCTCGTTACATCCTGCAGAAACTCAACCCGTAGTGTTCCTAACAATGTACAACTAACTAAATCTTGATGTCATGTGACTTTGTCTGTGTCACGTGATACAAAAGTAGACGCATTCCTGCATGATTGACGTCCGTGAATGACCCGCGGCCTGGGAAAGAGGAGAGTCAATCCCGGCTTTAATCATTACAAGTCTGCCAGCCTTGCACTCCCAGGGATGCCATGCGTTATATGCAATATGCGAGAGCTGGTATATTACATTCAGTGAGATGAATTGGCCGGAATCCCCCCCATGCTGTGAGTATGATCAGTATGACATTTAGAAACCTTGCAAACTTTCACTGAGGTTATTTGTTGCGGACGACAACACGCTGTAGTCAGCGTCACGCTTGATGCATCGCTACCTTCGGAAAAACAGCGTCTCTCATGCATGCCGTAAGAATCGATGTCGTCTTGTCATTTGCAGGTAAACTTAATGTATTTTGCATCGACCGAGGGCACCTGGGCCCGTTTGTGCATACGAACTGTTTTAATGTTCTAAAAGTACGATAAGGCATGTTCAACCAGTGTATATTTGTGTGAACAATGAGATACATATTTCATATAATATCATATTTGAAAGGGAGTCATCCTTACTATTTCATATGGTCATTATAAATTTTGCTAAATATGACACGACTCAATCACATGTACAAATAAGCCACAATGGTATCGTTGACCTTCTCCTGAACATGTTATGAAGTGATTAACAATTATACTTTTTATAAGAAAGAAAAACTAAAACGCTTTTAAAGTGTCAGTTTCGTCCAAACATTAAAATATTCATTACATCTTGCAAGATGTTTGTTTATAAAATGCATTTTACATCTTGAGCCATTTGATCGTTTGACTTTTATATTTTCATTCAAACTCTTGCTACCATTCGAGCAATGGCTCCTATAACTGGCGGGTTATGCAATATGCATCTCTTGGAAATATTTATTGCACAGGACGGTTATTGTGATAGCAACCAATACGGCCAGCAGTCTCTACGCTCCACTGAAGATATTCGATATTCTCCATCAAGCTGTATTATGATGTCAATTCCCCCCATCCCCCACAAACCGCTACCTTATGAGAATGATTCGCCGTACTGATAGAAACAGTGTTGACAATGTAACACGATATGTGTATGCAGCGTGCTAGATATATGAATATTGTAATGTGGTCGTGACTGTTGCTAAACTCGTCGACTGTTAATGAATTATAGTATATTTCGGTTAAAGATAGTTTCATTTTTTTTCATTTTAACCGCCTGTCTCAAGTATAACTTGTTAAAATACACCTGTCATTTGTGTATAATTAAATGTTCAAAACACGAGCTGCAGTATCAATCTATATCGCATCAAGGCACCCTCGGAACGGTTGTTGACTTCTGTTCAATATATCATTGTTGTTTTCATAAGTATATTCTAAATTATATGGCAGTGAGATACATACATACATACAGGACAATTTCAAATCCAATTTGTGAAATCCGATAAAGTATGCACACTATTTTGCGCCTGTAGCAAATTAGAAAGGTTTTCATTCTACAAAACATTATTTATAGGGGGAGCACGTCTCCATGTCATGTTTTGACACAGAGATACTTAACAGCACTTCGATATTGTGATATATGACCACAGCACATGTGTTCAAAGGTAGAGTTGTTGTGTAACGCTATCCTCTTGTAGACACAGACACTATTCATTTATTCTCAAGCACCGGGCGTAATGTTCGCTGTTTGAGTAACATTAAATATAGATGCTCGTTGAGTACGTTTGGAGCTAACGAGTCCATGCGGGTCCTACTTCTGTAGATTGTCCTCAGCCTAGCTTGCTGCATTCTGATTATAAAGGCCAAGGACAACGTCGTAGTTTCAAACAGTATGGCCTTGTTCGGATAACTTAATGTTTGTTTCCTTGGCAGGCATAACATCTAAGGCTGCGATTTTGATTCTTTCGGTTTGCTACCTACAGCAAAGTCATGTGACATCCAAATACTTCGTAGCTGTATAGGTAAACTTCATGCTCCATTTATTCTAATATTGGAATATTCCAGCAATATTCCGACGGGGAATCTCAAGAATCGGTTAACAAATTGTACCTCTCAGGAATCAAACCCCGGTCTTCACTGCGACCAGAGAACACTTTAACTACCAGGCTACCCTACCGCTATACCTTCTTCTACCTATACACATTCTGCCCTGATAGATATTGGAAGGGCATTAGGGTAGCCTTGTGGTTAAGGCTTTTCTTCTTTACGCTGAAAACCTGTTTCGATTCCTCACAACGACACAATGTGTTAAGCCCATTTCTGGTTACCCTGACGTGGTATTGCTGGAATATCTCTACAAGCGGCATAAAACCATCAACCTAAAATAATAACGTAACAAGAAATAAAGATAATGCGTTTTTAGTTCAAATCTATGTTACGCCTCCATATGACATACTACTAGGATAATTACATTTTGTGGAATCTTTTAATAATACCAGAAAACGATAATG